TTCTTAGTTTTTCTCCACTGTCGTTCCACTTCGCATCTCTATACTCAGTTTCAATCGCCATAATACCCCCTTATTGAGCCCGACTTTTGCCTTTAAGTTTTAGGCAAAGCTGACCGATAATGAAAAAAGCAAAAAAAACGTCGAAAAGGGATTTAGACAGGGACTCCCCCTCTGCCGCTTAGCAATGGATAAAGACGCGTGTTGGACGAGTTGTCTGAACCTGCCCGCAGTAAATTCCAATTCAGATGGCTTGAATGTAGCGGCAAAGCACTGCTGAAAAAACCATGCTAAAGAAACGTCACAAAATGTTGCAAATGCATTGTCATGTCGCAGCTGAACAAAAAATACTGTCAGTTTCATCCCGCCTCCCTTTCCCCTTCCCCATACGGAATACACTGAGGCGCGCTTGTTGAAAGTAAGGATCCGAGAGCAAATGGAAATAGACAAAACATTCGCGAAGGAATCCGATTCGAATGAGTGGCCAAAACGTACGCGCTCTAACAAAGCATAATCGACATTGATTTTTAAAGGATCAACCTCAGAGTCACGGTGGTCTCGAAACTACCGCAAATGTGTGCGCAGCCATCACACACTCTCCACGACTGAAGTGGGTGGCCGTACCGAGGCTCTGTGGACCCACCCACTTCGAAGGCGTTAGGCCGATGTCATAGTTTGCGAATCGAGCGATTCGCTAGCGAATCGCTGGATCCGAGCGTTGCGCCAGCGAATCGAACGTTGCACCAGCGAATCGAACTTTGCGCCAGCGAATCGAACGATGCACCAGCGAGTCGAACGATGTACCAGCGAGTCGAACTAGGTACCAGCGACTCAATAGTGGCGGGACCCAACGTTCAAAGGAAGCCCGCCACTTTCAAACAGTGTCACGTGACAGTGGACGCTGTTTGAAAGTGGCGGGCTTCCTTTGAACGTTGGGTCCCCACTATTGAGTCGCTGGTACATAGTTCGACTCGCTGGTGCAACGTTCGATTCGCTGGCGCAACGCTCGGATCCAGCGATTCGCTAGCGAATCGCTCGATTCGCAAACTATGACATCGGCCTTAAGCCCCCTTCCACGCCCTTCAACGGTAAGTTTTCAAATCAGTGACATTTCCTATGTACTTGACTAGGGCTAGTGCATGTTTCCACCCCTTAGGATCGAATGGTTGGAACCCTGCTGGCTGTTGCTTTAACTTAACACATCAACATTAACACTTTCTTGAGACTGCGGCATTTCCATTTCAGATTGCTGGAATACCTTTTTGCTGTCAATTTAGCACACTCAGTAGATGACAGCAATTTCAGCGACCAATGTTATACTATTGAATAAATGATTGGTCCTCATGAAGTATTCTTATGATGTTTTCCATCATCTTTCGACATCTCGTACGTGCCACTTCTGACAAAGAAACGTAGAAGACAAAGGACAGACCTCTGGAACGACTTCACTGGTGTCATAGCTGAGTCCCAGCGCCAAAGCTAACTCATCACTCTGCTTATCCTTAACATAAATTGAGTCACGCAACAGACTCGCATTGAAAGAGAACGGAAAAAGAGCATTACCTCAAATATGTTCCGATCCACTTCATTTTTCAAATCATCGTTATAAATGAGATCTCTGAAATATTCAGAATTCGAGGCGCAAGTTATGAGCACAGCCTGATATCAAGATTAGCCTTGCTTTCACCTCAACAGTCCCAAAACTCAATCGTTGTTCGTGCCGAAATTCAACAAATATTGCAAAATTTTTGGGAACTCCTGCCCACTACATATGGACTCGACAACCCTCGTGTATCAGCTCTTAATATAGTTGCATTTACTTACGATTAGGTATGAGTTGAAAAAAGGTGGTGTAGGGGTTGCATAGATAACACATGTACGTGGAACGATGTTCACGGCGGCCGACTTGGAGGCGAGCTTGACATTAATGACAAGGACGATGACGGGGATGACAAGTATGCTTTTTAACATTTCAGTGGCTGGCATAATTTATTCGCATTTTTGATCGTCTGCGCTTTGTTACTTAAGAGAGCGCCCAACACGTCACCATCGAGAAAGTTCGGACGAGCAGGGAATAGCGTTCAACACCGTTCACGCAAAAAGTCATATTTGTCATCAGGTACGCTGAATTACCTCCACATGTAAACTCACAGCAAGTTAGGTGAAGTAAGTTTTGCACCTATCTGCACGAATTGGTGCAAATGGTGCCAGCGCAAAACGAATGTTGTACCTGTATTAGGACACCAAATACTCTTTCGCAGGAATGGCCAAAAAGTCAAGGGAGGGCCTACCGTGGTCGCT